CTGGAGGGTGCCATCTCCTCCAAACATTCCTGTCCCCAGAGAAAGAAATAAACCAACAAATCTGCCAGGATCCTTGCTCTGTCCTTCTACTGCCTTCTACTGTGGAAATAAAGGTATCGGATACATCCCATCCTGCCCACACATAACAATTTGTGCTGGACACCAGATTTAGTTTGCGATGCCCTGGGGAGTGCGTGGCTTCAGATGGACAGGACTTTAAATAGTGACGGAATGAGAGGGAGGATAAAAAATTATTAAGAAGGAGGAAAACAACAATTACTCAAATCCTACCCTGCCATGAATAATACTGAATATTTACTATTTTTATTCCCCGACAATTCATTTTTCAAAGATAAGTATTACAAGAGCAGAAAGGAACAATAAAATTTATTTGAAAAATATGGAATCTTAATTCAGAGTTTGCTGAAGTCAGGGAAGGCCTTCCAATGGCTTTAATGGGCTTTGGCTCAAGCCCTTATAGTGTAGCAAAGAAAACAATATAAACTGAAGTGGGATTTATATCCCTACTATAAATAATGTATGTAATCTCAATTACTGGAGACAGTATTTGTATATATCTAATTTATCATTATTAAAGTGAGATTATGGCAGCTTTATGTGAGACAGAGGCAAATCTGGGTCATTAACGAAAGCAGTTCATTTACATGTTCCACTGTAACTACTCAGGGACTTTCATTCCTGTTTAAAATCTCAATCTTGCCCCCCTGTGGCCCATAGGAATATAGCACATGTGCGTAGTATAAGTTCACCTGAAACTAGACTGAAAATTAAAAATAAAGGGCACATATAATCCTTTCTGTTTTGTCATTTTTCCTTTAAATTTTAAATACAAATGTCAAATAGTCAAGGCACAAATAAAACCTAGAGGGACATCTGCTCTTCAGTCTATGCTTACTATTAGCACTTGCTAAATCCGACAGCACCAGAGAAACAAACTCGGAAGACTTTTGCTTAATGTTTCACTCATTCCCTCTCACTAAGGATATTTACACAGGCGACAGAAGGCAGCTGTTCATGCAGGATGATAACGGCTATAGTTGAGCACAATTACTGCAGTTTCAGTGGGCATCTCAGTTATTATCTGCAAAAATGGCCTTTGTCCACAGAACTACCCTTAACTCTGCCCTCAGAGGTAAGTTTGGCCCAGCATGCCCAGAGTTCTACAGCCACATTGATCTGTCCCTCTGTCAAGTATCAAAATGAAATTTGAAAATAAAACAGCTTCAATGGTTGGTCTTGATGATCTTAAAGGTCGCTTCCAACCTTAGCGATTCTATGATCTATATGGTCTTTAAGATAGAAAATAGCTACTTTGATGTATTAGCAAGGGCTTATGCATCATCATCACCACCATCAACAAAATCGCTACCCAGGGCTCTGTGTGGCAATGCAAATCCATGGCTATAGACCTTAAAAGACAATTCAAGAGAAAATAATACTCTCTCCCTTAAACAAAAGAAAATGGCAAATAAGACACTTGCAGGCAATAAGCCTGCAAACAGACATTACGTTACAAATGACCACCCCAATAATTTTAGCAAAAAAATACCCCACTCCATCTATGTGCATGGGGAAACAAAATCAGCCACATCTAAGATATTATTCCTTTAAAGACTAATTTGATGATATAATCAGGTTTGTGTCATTTCTCTTACTTTAGTGCTCCCTGCCTTCTCTGTGAAAAATAATTTCTCTTCAGACTAATCCATGCAGGTTTAGTAAAAAGAGCTTCCAACCCGGTCCATTGTGTCCCTTGGAAAAATGTTCCACAGGATTGCCAGATTCTTTCTTATCAGGAACAAGAGAACCAACCATTAATTTTAAAAAGGTCATGTCATCAACTGTGGACATGTACACAGTCTTACCGGGTTCACTCTGTTTCTTCTTACAGCAGCTGGATGCACAGTTACCAAACCTTCTATTTTGTATTTTTCACTCTATTTTTTCCAAGAAAGAATTCTTCCTTCCTAACAACATCTTACTACTAATTTGACACATTTATTATTCAGAAAGCCTGGTAAACTACAGCCCCTTATTTTGTCAATAGGCAAAGCAACACTGCAAGCTCTTAAGCTTAAGCTTCTGCCTTCTCTTTCCCCAAGACGTTAACCAAACTGGTTCACTCTCAGCAGCCATCTGATCCTTTTGCCCTCCTGAAACTACCAACAAAAAGGAAATTACTGCCAATTGTGGAGGTGATTTTGTATTGACACTTTTCCAATAGAATCCAGATTTAGACCACCAATGTGTTTCACAAGGGACATCCACCTGTCATCAGATGGTTGTAATTTTCCAACAGCAACTGTCCTGGGATGCATTCAAAATAGTAATAAAAGCTAAGAAAGATTCTTTATTTCATTATCAATTTTTACACCACTGGTTCTTCAAGCTGGTGGTGTATTTTTTAAGTATACCAATATAAAACATCCTACTGAAAACTGTTACTTCAAATATACACCATAAATAAAATATAATCAACCTACCCAATATAAATTGCTATTATTTTATAAATTATGTTAACCTGCTATACTTCCATCTACAGTATAGTTAGTTAATATTTCCTTTCACCCCACCAGCCAAAAGGCTAATCCTCACAGCAGCTGTTACTACTCCAGTACAGAATGAATGTGAATTTAACCTCTCCTGGATATAGCCTAATAAATTCTGTTGTTTTTCTAAGCACTTCAGTGAATTAAAATGGACGTTGGCTTGCCATCCAAATTCATGAACAGGTCTGAAGTGGCTTTTAGGCAAGTCGCCAAATAACTTCCCAATTCCCTTATAGGGTATAGCTCTCACTCGAGAGATCTTCCAAGCAAGAATTGAAAAACAACATCTTCTCCATTTCCTCAAAATTATTTTTCATTTTCTTAGCATTATTTAAATAAATTAAGCACAACATTACATTAGAATAACATTAAGAGTTCGTTTGCACTCTTCAGTTCTCAATGATTTCAACTTAATTGTACCAATACAAATGGGAGAAGAATATGCCCTCCTGCAAAGGCCAGGATATTGAAAACCTCGAATATAAAATGTAACCCAGCACATGTGTTTGGATATTGAATAGGCTGAGGAAAATAGGACTAGTCCCCAGTACAATGAAGATTTATTACTAGAAACAAATATATTTTTCATCTGATGCTTAACTGCATGCTAATGAAAACCAAATATACTATAAAGTCTTAATTTTCTCCAAGACCTCTTTCTCCATTTTCAAAAGTAACATAATTTAGACTTTGATTTAGCAAAGCAACAAACAACTCACTAAACTTCAAAGCAATTGGAAATCTACAGCATTTAGGCACATTACTTGTGTTTCTATCTCCCCTTCTGGAGATGAAATATTTCCTGTTTCGATGGGAAGTCATCAGCCAGCTTGCAACCATGTGTGGCTTTGAACATTTTAAAATTCGAAGCATTCAGGGCCCCTCTACAGAGACTTGTCTGCTGATAGTAGGTTTTCTTTCTGTTTCACGCACCCCTAACCACAGTAAGTGGTTAGTCTTCAGTCTGTACGACTGAAATTCACAATAGAAGACTAGCTAGAGAAAACAAAGTTCAAGTAGTAATAAACTTTCAACCTGTTGAAATAATCTCCGTTATAAGAAGTTATTGTTTTAATGAAATAACATACCAGTTTCAACTGCATACCCCCTCTTCACAGCCATCAGATCTGATCTGCCGTATCTGTTGGATATAAAATTTAATTTTGGTTGTATGCTTGAGTACAGTTATTTATTTTCTCTCCTTTACAAAAACGCTAAAGCTCCCCAAACATGAGACTATACTCATCACCACCAATGGCAGTGACTCCTTTTACCAGATTGAGGAAACCAGTGCACAGAAGAGGCACAGGTACTTCTCAATAGTAGTACTTTCAGGCATGAATACTCATGGTTTACTTGCTGTATGCTTCCGAGTTCCCCCAAACTATGGGCCAGATGGAAAATTTGGTACCTGACAACCAGACCCCCCTTTCAGTCACCGTGCAAGTGCCAAATTAGCAAAGAGAGCCACACGAGGTTTTTAATTTTGCATAAATTACCACAGTATTTCTCCCTCTCAGGCAGACCGCCCAAGAACCAGGGCAGGCAGCTCCCACCCTGCCACCTGCCCGACCGGAGGGACATCAGACCAGGCAGCTCCCGATCAAGCGCACCCACCTACTGCCTCGCACCCTTCCTAACCCCCGAGCACTTGCAGTTTACCAGTGGTTTAATCGCGGCAGTGCGCACGATGTTCTCAATTCCTCTTTCTCCCTACTACTTTGTCTCCCCGCTAATCAAGGAAACCTGCCAGCCTGGAGCCTGCTCCATCCCCTCGCCGGCTGAGGGAGCCC